ATATAATTAGAATGCCAGAAGTGAGTAACAAATAAGAATGAGCAATAAAATAATAATGAAATGGTAACAAATTAAAACAGCAATTCTTACTAGCAATTTTACTAACTATATTGAGATTTAGACAAAATTTCATTTTATACTAAGGCTGAACATAAGAACTTAAAATTCTTAATTTTTGCGGCCATCCATTATGTTTGTTTTGAATTTCGCGCAAAGCTACACGAGGGCTAGCTGCACTAGCCGTCTCTAATTTAGCAGTGTAAGACTAGAGGGAAGGCAGCTAGTCATCACCACCCACCGCCAACTCTTGGGCTACTCTTTTACCAACGATTGACCGTCACATTATAACGCCCCCACGGCTGAAAGGGCGAGCATGTTTGATGTGACGGGGATTCGAACCCACGACCCTCAGACTGCGAGTCGAGTGCCCTAACCACCTGGCCATGCCGGGCCCACCATCCATTATGCGTGGTAGCGAGTGGCCATATCTTTATTTGCTTCATTCAATAATTCTGTTAGACTACCATACTCCCAGTGGCATAGCGATATGTCTTCAGACTTATACTGCTAGAAACCGGGTTTCGATACCCGTGGTGCGTAGATCACAGATAGCCCTTTGTGCCGCTCAGTGGCACAGTAGTACGTCTGTGGACTTATACCACTAGAAACCAAGTTTCGATACCTGTAGTGGGCAGAGCACAGATAGCCCTTTTTGTAGCTTTGTACTTAATAACAAACAACAACAATAGACTATTTGCGAAAAAGAGTTGTTGTTTATCTATAGTTTATTAATTTTTTAAAGCAAAAGTGAGATCTGACCAAAAATAAATCAATTACATGTCAGAATAAATACCAAACAATAAACTCTGGTCTCAGCCTTCAGGTCGTAAAATAAAACAAAAAAGAAAAAAAAGCACGAATAGACGGGGACGAAAATGAATCATATATTTAGTTCCCTTTAGATGAGTCAAGCCTTCCAAAGGCTTGAGTAAAAATTAACATACACTTGTTCTTTCATCTACCACAAGGTTCGTTGTTCTTGTAAGCGAAAGTTGTATTAGTTAGTCGTGTCTCAGGTATACAAAACCGTGGTCACGTGGTAAGGTAAAGTTTAATATACATGGGTCTGTGAGTAAGGGGAGGTTGATAAGTGAATTACCTTGACCCCCTATTAAGCGGCGCAAAAAAAACAAAAAACAACCGAAGTAACATTATATCTTGTGATTTGTTTCCGAACGCTACTTCCTGGTTGAATGTTCGCTGGTGTCAGCATCCATGTACGTGAATATGCTTCAAGAAAACGTCTTTTAAAACTAGGTAAAACGCTCATATACTGTAGGTTGTCAGGTACTCTGACTTCTAGATGAAATTCAAATTAATTTAGAAAGGATTTTTGGCCACATTCTAACGAAAGTTTTTCTTTCCTTTCCTGTTGTTGAAATACACACACACACACACACAATGTAATATGTTTTAATATATCTCAAAATCAAAGCTACAATTCCAGGTCATAAAATTATCGTGAAGAAACGAATCATCACGTTTTCTTCATCCTTACCTATATGCAATTCATCGGAATATCAACGAACCACGAACCACGAATCCTCGGGTTCACAATCCAGTTACTCTAACCACTAGGCCTCATCTTGTCCCACACATCTCAAAATCTTTCACTCTCATTTCAGTCTAATATGTTCTATAACATTTGAATTTAAAAATCTTTTTTCCTGTTTTCAGTTTCATTCTTTCCCTTTTCTCCCCATTAAATTGCTTCATATCCTGCACTTTTTCGCTACCAGTTTGTCATACTTTCATTCATCGTCTTAAATTACTTTGTCATTTGTCATTCTACAATGTCATATTTCCATTTTATAATTTCATTTGCTTGTAGCTGGTTTCTTCCGTTTGTTTCTTGCCCTTCCTGACCCTCTGATCTCCGTGGTTCACTTTTCATCTTTTATTCTGCGTTTGTTTAATCTTTTCGTAGCTCATTAATTATTTATTCTTTCCACCGAAGTCTTTGGAACTAAAGACGGTATAACACCAATACAAACATTCTTGGGCCTTGTACGAAGTTACTTACATGATTTTTTATGTTTACCTTCTTCCTCTACTACTGCCCTCCAGTGGCACAGCGGTATGTCTGCGGACGTACAACGCTAGAATCCGGGTTTCTATACCCGTTGTGGGCAGAGCACAGATAGCCCTTTGTGCTTAATTACAAACAAACAGACCTGTAATAATTCTATTTCCAAATCCGAAATTTCTTGTTACATTAAATAATTAATCCGATTGATGTTCTTTCTATATGTTCTATTTGGACTTTCAGGACTCTTTCTTTAGTTAAACTTCGTGTGTCGTTTTAGTGTTGTTTTGTTTTGTGTTTTTCACTCTTAATAAGTTGAGTCATTTATTCTTTCCTTTTCTTCATTTCATTACCCTTGAGACTGACGTGATACACATTATAATACACAAAGTCACCATAATTACTAGCTTATTATTTTCTATTTTTTACATACTATTATTTCCTGTTTGTTTGTTGTTAAGCGCAAAGCTGTTCAATGGTTTATCTGCGCTGTGCTATACCCACCGAAAAGATCTTATCCTGGATTAAGCGTTATAAATCCAAAAGCTTTCATTGTGGGGAAAAGGGGCAGTAGTTTACTGTCATTGCATGGAGTTATAGAGAGTTAATAAATTGTTATTACAGGAAAAACCCAGAATAATACACTTTGAGAATAGTTTAACGACAAGTGAACAAGATGAGAGTTGATGCACGAATTTCACAATTTTCACAAATCCTGATGAAATAGGATTGTGAAAGACTTCGTGTTCTTTCTTTTCTGCTCAACTTGGTTCTTACTGAGTACAGTTCTTAGTTATCTTCAAACACTATTCTCTTATTATTTTTTAGTTTTATATTTCGTAATGCCCTCAGCCACTTTTGAATTGCTGTTTTAATTTGTTACCATTTCATTATTATTTTGTTGCTCATTCTTATTTGTTACTCACCTCTGGCATTCTAATTATATTATTTCGTATGTAATTAATAGAGTGATATAATCAGCCAAATCTCTTTTAGTTCCTTGCATTCGCGTATCTGCTTGTAATTTTGTTAGCCTTGTGTCTTTTTTTCATCCTGCCTCTACATTCCTCTCAGAATTTTGATTCCTTGTGTTGCGTTTTATTTAGCACGGATTAAAACAGCGAAAAAGAACGTAAAAATTCAACTAGAGAAAATGATGAAAATAAAATAAGCTTTAGGGAAATAAAAGTTGGAAGAAATTATAATTATAACAGATCCAAGTTTGAATAAAGTGTGGAGTAATATCTAGCGCAAAACTGTTTACAAAATGAATAAAAGTTATTAAAGGATACACGTTAACTTGGTTTACACTACGACATACCATAAAGTGAATATATTTTCTTCATATGTCGTAGTCCTTAATGAAAAACATGTGATCTGCTTTATAGATATGTAATAAAATAATATTTTATAAATATGCACTACCGGAACTTGTGTTTAAAATTTTTTGAATTATAATAAATAATTAAAAACAACGTTTTATATTTACACAATTAAAACGTTATTGAAGCCTTATGGCTTCCACTTTAAAATAGAAATATCGCTCTACACGTATATGTTTGGACGTGATATACGTCATCCTCAGGAGTAACTTACAGGTCTATTTTATACTTTCACCCCTTCTCGCATTACGTCATTGTTATTTGCATATTTTCTTTATGTAATTGAAAAAATATATATATAATATATCTCGCCATATATCAACGTATTGAATTGCTTTCCTTCATCTCTATTTAATACTTGTTTTTGTTTTTTATATTTCATTATTTCTAATGTTTA